TTGATCTAGCCAGATTTAGAAGAAAATTGTTACTATAAACCATCGGCCCCGTAGTCACCTACATGAAACTTAAGCGTTGCGATACGCAATATTAGGCGAATTCCCAGCAATTCTTCTCATCGCTCAACACAACCATAAATATTTCCTATTATTTAATGGATTTTGAGTTTAAGTATTGGTATGGAAGGCGATGTATCGATATTTTCGCGATTACTATATAAACGGAGCCTTATAAATTTAGTTTCATTTTACCACAATCAAAATTTATCATTTTGAATAAAATGTTGTTATTTAAATTTCATTTTTATATGTAAATTCTACCAGTTTCATCTGATTATATAAATAAAAAAAAAATTCTTTTGAACTAATAAATTATAATTTTTTAAATTTTGTTTTTATGGGAAATTTTTATTTTAGTTTAAAAATCTTGTTTTGAAAAAAATATTATCAATAAAAAATTGAAAAAATAAATTTAATTTCTACCATTATCTTATGGTTCAAATCAAATCTACAATAAAATGAAAAATTATATTTATAAATTTATCAAAATGAAATGATTATAATCTGGGGCCTAAGCCCACAAAATGATTTTACTCCCTTTTAAAATATATTTTTGCAAATTTTTTAAATGTCTTTTAAAAAAATCAATACGCAAGTCAGATTTTGCGAAAATGAAAGGGGGGGGGGTGGTATTTAAAAAAATAAATTGTTTTAATAACTTCTATCTACAAATTGTTATGGAAGAAAGCCAAATTTCAATTGTAACAAATCGATATATAAAATTTAAGTTATTGATGACTAGATCCCTCCAAAGTAATTGTTTCGCAGAAAAAATTTCGCTGTCCGGCCCGAGCCCAAATGTTTTTTCAGCCTAACCCGATTAAAATTATTTAAATTTTAATATCTAAGAAAAAATTAATTATATTTATTCGCATATTGTCACCTTATATAAAAGTATATTTAACCTATTTTTAACCAGCATTTCGATCCAATTTTTAAAACGGCTAACTCATTATTTTATTAGGAAAAATATTATGCAAGCCTCAAGATTTTGCTTGTGGCACAAAGGTTTGAATATTTATTAACGAAATCCGAGGCGCCGTTTTTAAAAATCAGCTAAAATCGAGCCGTTTAACAACACTAATTTAACCCCCATAAATTATGATCCTATCAATTGACAAATAAAATTACAAACCAGAGTATAACATTTTAATTAATTTGTATATATATATATATAATAAAAACGAAATTATAAAATAGACATATCAATAGAATCAGAATATAAATAATTATGATTTTTAACTAGTCACAAAATGTAAATTAGGAAATCGTTAATTTGGGAAATGGAAATTAAATAAATAATATGTAAGATTAAATATAACATGTGATTCTGATATACATTTCGCTTAAACAAAATGTATATCGAGCATACAAATATTTAATTTTCGGAAAGGGTCGGTTACCTCTTACAGTCCGACCTCCGAGAAAAAAGTTTTCAATGTCTAGAGGATTGGGGGTTTGAGCAACCAGTACAGAGATTGACCCAATGATAATAATTAAATTTTTATTATTTTTAATATATATATTATATTGTATTATAAGTGAAAATGTTAGCAGGGTTTTTGCAGAAAAAAAATATTGCAGCTTATTTTTAATATTATATTTTAAAAAAATTGAATTCAAACCAGATTTTATTGAACTTAAACCGTTTAAATTTACCTGTCTAAAAAAGATTTCTATCACTATTTTGAAGCTATTAGTGTTATATTAATTTATTAAACCTTTAACCTTATAGTCTACCCTTGTTAGTGGCTTAATCGGCGTGTTAGACAAGGAAAGGGAGAGAGGTCTCTCATTCAAAAATTTACTTGATTTTGTAAATATCATTATAAGGCAGAAATTGCCCCCCCCCCAACATCTTAGCAAAATTCTGGCTACGCATGAAGTTTAATTTTTCTTAAATGATTTTTTTTTCTATTATGGACAGGGATGTGAACCCTTCGACAAAAAAAAAGGGTCCGGGTTCGGTAATAAATTTAAAAAGGACCCGGGTTTAGGGTCCGGGTTCAGAGGGAACATAAAAATAATGACTCAAAATAAGACTTTTTTTTATTCATTTTTTATTATACTTCAATATATACACATTTATAATTCGAAATGAGATAATTTATATTTTAAATATTTTATTCAATCGCACAATCATATCTTCTAAAATATCATCCTTCAGATTTCCACGTAAATTAGACAAAATATGTTTCAAAGATGAAAATCCACGTTCTACGTTTACCTAAAATAGATAGTCATTTTTGTAATACATAAATTATTGTACTTGTGTCGCCGGTACAGCCATGACGATTCTAGATAAGGTATATAATTCTGGATATATTGAAGAATTTTCCTCCCAGAATTTTAAAATGTTTGCATCTCTATTTATTCTCATAACTTCCGAGAACTTTTCTATTAAAGATACAATAGATATTTTTTGCTCCTTTCTATCAGATGATAATTTAATTTTTGTTTCTCTATCTAATAGTAAAATTTCCAGATCATCAATATCGTTATCATTGTTATCGCTACAACCAGTAGATATTGTTGTAACCTCCAATATATTGTAAATAATAGAGTTTTGGGTATGCCATAAATCTTCAAGATGGTCTATAGCCATTTGTTTTTGCTCACTACTTAATAAAACCTGATATCGCGGGTCTAAATATATCGAAGCATATACAACACTATTTTGTAAATATTGTTGCTCTCTTATTTTTGTATTTTCTAATACTTCATTTGAAAAAGAACTTGTTATCTCCCTAACTCTAATCGACATCTTAACCATATGCCATAAAAATCCGATAAACATAATTGTTCTGCTTGCACTCTTAATGTTGTTATTTTTAAAGGAACCAGCACACTAGTAAGCTCTTTTATTTGATTCCAATCATCTTCTGACAAAATGATTTCACATGCTCCTATGATAAAATCATTACAGAAATCTTTCAAACTTAATAATCGCTCTAGCATCATACATATAGAGGGCCAAAGTGTTGTGCAATCTAAAATTGCCATTTGCTTTTTCATGGGTTTTAATATTCTAACATTTGTGGGAGTTCTTAAATATTTTACAACATCCCTTGCTTTATCAATTATAGTTTTAAAGTGACTATTTTTTAGGGAGATTCCACGAAAAAAATTAATAAAATTATAAAAATTTTACATTATTTTTTAAAAATTAATAAAATTATAAAAATTTTACATTATTTTTTAAAATTAATAAAATTTTATATTATTTTTTAAATATATTTTTACATTAATTTAAAAAAAAATAATTTTAAGTTAAAAATTTTAAACACCCTGAACCCTCCACTTTTTAAAAGGGTCCGGTTCCGGGTTCAGCCAAAATACGAGGGTCAAGGATGGTTCAGGGTCCGAGTTCACATCCCTGATTATGGACAAAAAGGGATCCCTGGCATCATATGCGACAATTGGCATTTGTTATATAATAAAATAGTTTTCATGTTCCATACATGTCTATTAAAAGCCTAGCTTCAACGACTAACAATTAAAGTGTTTCCTTCGTTTTACAATCATCTAGATAAAATTCATTCAATAAACCCTTACTCGTACCTATTGTATATATAATATTATCCCTGAAAACAATGAATAGTGATTACTCGATAAAAGCTGTAAATGAGATCTCCTTAAGCAACCATCAACTTTTGTGTCATGTGGAAGTATTTTCTCAAAAGCAGAGGATTACTGAATATTCGATTTATATCTAATTGGATTACGGAATTGGGCCCATGGTAAAAAAAAGAATTGTCACTATAATTTAAAAGTAAGCGGAAGGCTTCATTTTTTTTTTGAGCACGTCATGTCAAAAATACGAAAAATTCCTTATAATTCTCCATAAGATATCCTCATTGCCCCCTATCCCGTTTATTTAATTCTTATTCATTATTCGCGAATCAAATATGAAGTTATATTTGCCCCAAGAAAAGCTGATTTTTTAAAAATACAAAATTTAAGAACTTTCATAAAGTTAACAAAAACTATAATTTTGCAAAAAATCGTAAGTTTAGAAAACTTGCCACTTACATTTTTTGTCGCCATAGCCAGTTCAGTTTCCCATTAAATGATTAATTTCTATCCGTAAACAATAATCCTTTACTAGAGGATGAACGAACTCAACTAAATTAACTCGTTTTGGCATATACCAAGGAGTTATATATTAAGATTCTTCATTTTTTAAGTAAATTTTTGATTTATAAATGTAGTGAGTTGTGAATCTTAATTACATTGCTACAAAAATAAATAACCGAATATTATTACATGGTTTATTTCTTATTTATATCATAGTATAAAAAAGACAGAATTATAACAAATAAAAATTTAAATGTAAAATAAAATAAAAAATGTGTTAAAATATTATCATGCTTTAAAAAGTTTTAAATTTTTTTTATTCTATAAAAATAGTCTGTGAATTTTTTTGCCAGTGACTGGTCGGATCTTGCTAAAAAATATATTGAATATCGGGTATGAATGGTCGTAAAATAATTTTCAGTGCCAGCGTGAATGGGTCTGTGAATAAAAAATATTCACCTTTAGCTCCATTTCTAGCATCATCTTTTGAGTCAGTAATTTCAATAGCCATTAAGATAAGATTTTTAAAAATATTGTTGTTTATAGGATCAGGCATGATAGATTTGACCAAAAGACTGGAAAATTGAGTATCAATACGTAGTGCAATGAAGGAAGTGATTTTTATTTTTTTATGAATAATGATCCTTATTTTTTTGTATGCAAAAAAATCTAAATAAAATTAAGTGTATAGAGAGGTCAAAAATTGTTTGTCCAATGTCACCATAATAAATTAACATGTTACAAAAAAACTTTTAAGAAATATTCCATTCTCATAAATTAGACACATACGATTACAGCCATATTGTTACTTTATTTATTCATCAGATAAGAAACTACTTTTTTGGATAATATTTTTAATATTAGACAAATTATGCATAATTGTAAGGAATTATGATATAAATTATTTTTTTACAATATAAAAGAAAATATAATTTATATGAATATATTATGTTTTTTATTACTAAATGATGATTTAGATTTTATAGCATGATCATATTATAGGGTTCTAGCTCTACTTGATTAATTTTACAAAAAAGCTATTAAACAATATGCCATTTATTTAACAAATATAATTGAATTTTGATGGTTTCCTCCTTTCATTGTAAACGGTGGATGGTACTCCAAAAGTTTCGACCAACAGTGAGTTATAGGCTATAATAATAATTGTGCGACGATTTAGATAAGAGATAACATTTTTGAGAAATATTTTGGTTAAAAAAATATTTGTTTAGCGTCGGTTAATGCCAATTCTTCCGGACAATAAGGACATTTGACTCTGATTTATATTTTTAATCAAAAAATAATATAAAAATTATTATGATTAAAATAAAATAATTATCTTGCCCAATCACTAAAATGTTTAAAATGGTGGAGGTTCAAAACTAGTGAACATCCCTTATAAATCGTTATCTACCTCAATTCCTACTATTAGAATTAGGCAGACCTTATCTATCATAATTCAAAAAATATTATTTTAAAGTTAATTTAAATATTTTTCGTTCGATAAATTTTTTTTTCTCAGCCTATAAGATTTCAAGCAGATTATAAAACGAATTTAAGGACTTCAAATTATTAAAAAATGCGATTTTATTTTTTAAAATTAATAAATATTATTTATAAAAACATTTGATATGAGCAAGATGATATGTTATTATTAGACTAGTAATTTACATAAAAAGTATTGAATATTATAATATATTTTATTCTTTTAATTTTTGATGTTTCAAATCTTTTGTATCAGACCATCAATTATTTTATAATTAGTAATACAATGCAATTTACAACTCATATTACAAAATTTATTATTTATCATAAAAGGAAATTTTAATTAACGATAAACAATTATAATAGATGCAGCATTGCAATATCAATGTAACAAAGTATATTGCAAGCAAAACCTGCTTTTGCATGGAAACATTTTGGATCCTTAATATTAAAAACTGACACAAATAATAAGAGAACCAGTGTTGCTGCAGATAAAGTTTTTTGTAATATATGCTTGCAAATAGCACTTGATAAAGATGGTGGGGATTAAAATAATTATTCATTTTCAGAGTAAATTTTTTTATTATTTTTAAAATATTTGTGAATTTTTTAATTAATTATCCAATCAATATTTTTTCAAAAAATATCAGCATATCAAACACAATAAAACATTTACTTGACAAACATGACTTATCATGTAAGGAAGAAATATTTAAACAAAATTTAGAATTTTCCAATAAGCGATCTTCAGGTACTATTTAAAAATACATAAATTAGTGTTTTTTAAATATTATTTCTCTTTGTTCTATTTTTTACTTAGGTGTTACGAGCACTTTTGGATCCTAGCCTGGAACAACAAGATTATTTAACTAGTCTAGAAAAAGAGTGCATTCATTATTTTCGCCTTATAATTTAGAGATAAAAGATGTCTTATATTTTTGGAAGATAAGAGCATTGGATCTTCCTGAACTTTCAATACTAGCTAGAAAGGTCCTGTGCGTTCTAGCTAAACGCACACCCAGCGAGCGTATATTTTCCATAGTTGGGCTCACTCTGAACTCTAAAAGATCAACATTATGTCCTATATAAATCTAAATAAAATATTATTTATACATGATAATTATAACTTAATAAAATCGTTAAATTATAGTTATAAACATAATAAAGCATAAATTTTATTTTAAAAATGTTTCCAATGAATTTATAATTTAAAAATTTAAGTTAGATAATTATTTGATGCTGCCGCGCCGCCGCCGATTTTTGAGGCAAATCGTTTCGCCGCCGCCAACCGATCGTTTAAAAAAACTGTGCCGCCGATAATACTATCGGCGCATAGGTCTGCATATAGTCAAAGGGGGCAAAGATCATAATAAGTAGAGTTTTTAAAGAGCGCTTATGGGGCGCCGTTAAAAACATCTGGAGCGTCGTTATATATTAAAAATCGGGAGCAGGGGCGGGAGCGGTGGTTAGCTCCTTTTTGGGATGCCGCTCCTCTAGATTGTAATTATATTACATAAATTGTTTAAACAATCAATTTAATATTGAATGATTTCCATATTTATTAAAATTTTTGAAACTATTGTTATTTTAAATGTTGAGCCTTTCTAATTCGTGTAGACTAAGAGATAACGTTAAGTTAGTACCAATAAAAATTAATTAAGAATAATATAAGAGAATTTATTAAAATTTTATTGACTTGGAAATTAATAATAAAAATATGGTTGCAAAATATAATTTGGCATATCTTTATATAATAAATTATTTATAGACAAATTCACATACTAAATTTACAAATAAAAAATAAAAAATTTTGCAAAATATACTATAATTCAACAAAATTGAATATCATAAAAAAAATTTTTTAACTTAAATCATGAATATTCGAATCTTAATTAATAATAATAAAAAAACTGTCAGAAAATTAAATCGTTATACTTATCGTTATGCAAATATAATTATACAATCATAACTTATAATAGTTATCAGATGTAGATGATACTGAATTGGATGAAATAAAATGTCCATCTCCTTCCTACAGTAAATATTTTTTCTAAACGAGGTGGATCTTAATAAAGCAATTTTTAGCTGTAAAAGCTCATTGAATCGACTCGAAATCATTCCAATAATCTGCAGCCATAGCCAGACGCGTAGCCAGCGGGAGGGGGTGGGAGAGAGGGAGAAATCCCCCGCCCTATAGCAAAAATTTTTGATAAAATATAAAAGAGCTTCACGAATTGTGAATTGCAAAGTATTCTATTTCAAATAGGGTTATATTCTATGTTAAATATTTGCAAAAAGTTCAAATTAATTTAAATATTTATTTCTTGATATTAATATTTTATCTGACGATAATTTAAAGTTTTACTTTCTTACATTTTGCTGTTATCGCATTTTTTTGAATCTAGAAGAGCCTAGTTTGTATGCCCTTAAAGAAATCAGAATCATCTGAAACACATATTTGATTTGAAGCTAATACATTATTAAATTTAATGACTGTCGATTTTTTTCATTGGAATGTATTAATAAATTATTTATTACACAACAATTTTATGCAATATTTTTCAAAGCTGACGTGAATATTATTATATTACAACTTTAGAAGACCAAGAGATAATATCAATCAGAAATTTCTCGAGATTTATGTGATTGTTGAGGTGGAGCGAAATATATGATTTTGAGATTCACAAGCCTCGACTTTACCAACAAAAAAATCGTTCTAATATTTATGTGGACTCAATTGAGGAATGTAATAAAATATCCGTTTCTATTCCACTTTTGGATTTAGTTGACTCAAATCAATGAACGATTTGTGAATTATCACATTTACAAATACCATATTTCATAACTTCCTCTGATCTGAGGATATATCAGATCTTGATATTGAAAAATTAAATATTTAGCTAAATTTTATTCAGATGATATAAATGTATCTAAAGGCCAATTAATTTCACAATTTAAATGGTATAAAAGATTCATTTTTGTAGATAATCTTCCAAGAAATACAGTAAAAGCATTGCATACTTTAAAATATATTTTATAAGTTTTCCAAAAATGACTGTATATTTGGCAATGATACCAATTAATACAAACACAAATGGGAGGACCTTCCTTAATTACATAAAAACCTATATCAAAAGTATGACATCTTAAAATTGATTGAATAGACTACCTTTACTCATCGAGATCTAATCCCTAACACAAAACAAATTATTAAAAAATTGGCGCAATAGCAAAGAAGATTAAATTTTCATTTATGAACGATATTTTGACTAACTCTTTAAATCATTATAAAATGTTTAATTTTATATTTTATTGTGATTTACATACCGGTTTATATAGCTATAATATTTTTTAACCGTATTATATTCGCTCTTAATATTTTGTATTTACCAATATTTTATTATTTGTGTTTGAAATTATCATATTTTCAAATATGACTGGTTTTAATAAGTTTTATATGATGATTACTTCTAATAAATTTTTAATCTCCAAAAAATGATTTTAATACTAATAAAATCACCTCCCTTCCCCAGTTGAAAATTCCTGAATACGTTGCCTGATCATAGCCTTAAACATGTTGAAAATAAGCACACATTGAAGTCTTGACCAAGATTATAACTGATATACATAGAAGTTTTAAAATCCATAAGGTAGTAAAAACCATTACTGACAATGGTAGAAACTTTGTGAAGACTTTCAGGTTATTCTAAATTAATCATTTTAAAATTATATATAACTTTGTATTTTTAGAATGTTTGAGAATAAAAGTTGTGAAAGGGATAAAGATTTTGAAGATGTGGATATTGATATCTTGATTAACATAGTAGAAATTTATGATTTTCTACGAGCATTGATGTACCTCCCATAATTATTAATTTAGAGGCTACAGTTGATACTTAAAAGGCTTTAGAAAACCGGTACTTTAAAATTATATCCCAAAACTCCAGGGCCGTAGCCAGGAATTTTCAGTTAGGGGGGGAGCTGCTTACTTAGGGGGGTCACTATTTTTTTTTTAAATAAAACAAATATTTAAGCATTTATATAAATTTTTTGCTATTTTTATTAAAAAATTTTTAATGTTATATGAATACAAAATAGTACTATAATATAGTGTTGTAAACGAACGCGTTCGTGAACGAAGTTCGTTTTTTTGAAAAAAGGTGATGAACGGCGTTCCTTTTTTTTTGACGAACTTTGAACGTGAACGCGTTCCTTTTCTTTGATGAACGCGTTCAATTTTACGTTCGTTCAATTTTAAAAACACTTTTTATTTTTATTTATTTGAAAAATCAATATTAATCCGCATTTTTTAACAAAAAAGTCTTATATTTTTATTTATTTGAAAAATTAATATTTAATCCAATTTTTTAACAAAAAGTCTTATATTTTTTAATCAGCTGTTTTTACTTTTTCCTCTTTCATATTGCAATTAACGTACCATAGTGCTACTGCTAGAGAAGATAAGATTAAAGTTTATTAATTTGAATATTTTATATTTTAATTTAATAGATTAGCATTTGCATGGATATAAATATTTCATCATCAGATTCTGAAAATCAAAATTCAATATTAGATGAATTAGAATTACCATGGCCCAAATATCAAAAATATTTCACTGTTTTAAAATCAATTCCGAGATATCCTTTTTTTTTGACGAGGAAGAAGAAGGCAGATTAGAGGATGATAACATAGCTCAATTTTTTGAAACAATGGATAAAACATTAAATGTTTTTAATAAATTCCCCCTTTTAAAAGAATTATTTATCAAGTATAACACCGCAATCCCTTCATCTGCCCCTGTTGAGCGAGTTTTTAGTATAGCTAACGCTGTATTAACTGACAAGCGTTCATGCCTATCAGATGAAAATTTTGAAAAGCAATTATTATTAAAAATTAATAAGAAAATTTTTTTATAAATTTATTTTTTTATCGCTCTATTATATTGTATTTATAATTATATTATCAAAATAAAACTATTATTTTTTCTCATGGCTAATATATTGTGTTGAAAAATATAAGGCATTTATTTATATCAAATTAAATTTTAAAAAAAATTTATCATAAAATTTTGAACGTATGAACGCGTTCATGAACTTGAACGCGTTCCTTTTTTTGAATTTGAACGTGAACGCGTTCGATTTTTGTCAATGAACGTTGAACGCGTTCGATTTTTAAAATGTTTACAGCACTACTATAATATGGACATACAAAATAATACTATAATATAATAAGACAATTTCTTATTTTTAAATTTTAACATAAATGAATTAAAGGATAAATTTTGTGTTATTTTTTTTTCATAAGTCATCAATACTAAATTTTGCTTACATTTGATCTTTTTTCATCGACCCTCTAGTGCTCGATAGAACTCTCTTTATTACAGAAAAAGAAGCCACACAAGCCTTTGGTTGATGATGGCTGCTGAGTAGCATTTATATTATACAATTCTTTAAATGCATGATGATATTTTTTTTATACATAATATTTAGGTTATTTCCAAAATTATGTGTTTCTTTAACTTCTGCAGCTAATAATCCTTTAGCTATTTTCATTTCATGATGTAAAATTTCCATATTTAAGTTTAATAAACAGGCCATTTTGTCCGATATAAAATAATCACTATCAAAGGGGGACAATGCATTAAAACTTGATAGAAGATCATAATCATCTTGTGTAAATCTATCTAATAAATTATCAACAAAGTAATCAATAATTCCTTTTTAAAGAACTCCAATTGGAGTCTTTTTCACAATCAAATTATAATTTGGTCTCGACTAAAAAATGTTGAAAATTTATAGGCGTTTTACGTATTCTTGATAATTTGTGGGGAGTGAGATTAAAGTTTTTCAGCCTTTATTCTAATCAAATCAATAGAATTATTGCTTCTTATATTTTTTAAATATATTGATAGTGGAATCAATATAATTTTTAGCATCCACTTGATAAGTACCTACTGACTGTAGATACTTATATAGTGGATCTATTGTTATTAATATCTCATAAATTATAATGGCTAATATAACGTAATTTATATTAACGTATTGAGATAAAAAACCAGAGGCTTCGACAAAATCATGAGTGGAAACCTCTGAATTAAGAGTTCTTTTAGAAAAGTAAACTAATACTTCACCAATAGCCTCAAAATTAAATAAATGATGCGAGATGTTTATGACCAGTCCACCTTTGGCCTAAAAGTCTCTTAAGAGTATGGCCTGCATATTAACAGGATACGTTAGACCGCCCAAAAAATTATGCAATGCATTGAATAAATTTAAAAAAATTAGAAATGATAACAATATTATTATACCAATTTTGAACCACAAGATGCAACATGTGGTTGTAGCAATTTAATTATTTTTTGAAGTAGGGTTTGCACTCCACCATTTCGGCCATACATAACGTTTGCATCATCATATGCCTGGTTTATCATATTCGTTGAATTAATATTTAACTCATTAAGTTGCTTTAAAATGCCATTAGTTATGCTTTCAGCAGAAAGACACTGTAAATTAATAATCCCTATTAAATTTTCTTGGACTTCTCCAGAAAAAATATTAATAATTATTCTTGGGTTTTTACAATCTGATGCATCTTTTGTCACATCAGATTTAAGACAAAAATTAAGGCATCTCACTTTTATTATATTTATCTGAAATATAATCAGGCACCATATCTATCATAATAGATATTACTTCTTTTTGAATCTGGGTGATGTATATCACGTATTTTTGTATATAAATTTCGTATTTTTATTTAACAGGATCTTTTTGGATGGTGTATGAAAACATTACTATAATTAGTCCAGAAAGAATAAATTATGTTTTCTACATTTGCAGCATCCGTAATTTTTGTTGAACCAGTCCCACGGAAAGGTAGCTCCTGTATGTTAAGAAATATCATGAAATCTTGATTTAAGATCGTAAAGATTTACGGTTAATTTGTTGTTATCTCACTATTTTCTTTATAATGATAAAATGTTCACCGCTGTTTCAAATAACTGGTTATATCGGGCTTAGATAATATTATTTTGTCTAAGATCTTAATCGAACCATTTTTAAAAATCTGCCCAAATCCTGCTATTTAACAACACTGCACAATATAATTACCAAATTTTATAAAAATTTAATAAGAACCGTTTTTATTTTAATAAATATTTACGGATCGGTATCAATCTGTTTCTTTAGATTTTGATTGTAAATAATTATCACTCTAAGTGGGGGTTCGAGGTTTTGGGGGGTGAGGAATAATTTAAATATATATATATCAATCGGTTTTTTATGATTTGCACCCAGATCTATATCAGAGACCTTCAAAAGATAATAATATTGTCATTGAACCATAATTAATAAAATAATTATCATTGAAATAACTACAACTTAAACGTTATAATTAAGCGCCTATATAATGTTATACGCAAACACACGTGAAAAATAAAATACGAATGAATGATGATTTATTATTGGAAAAAAATAAAACAGGATAGGAAGAAATTTACAAACAAGACATGTTTTTTGAATCAATATTTAAAATTTATTTTAAAAATATAAAAATAATCAATTACAAAAAAAATTTTTTTTTTTGGGGGGGGGGGGGAGGGGGAAATATATGAGGGCCATTTTTGGGGGCAAAAATTTTTTTAAGAGGGCCTGCCCCGCCCCTGTGGCTACGGCCCTGCAAAGCTCATTTAAAAAGTGTCAGTCTTTGCGGAATAAACAAAATATGTCGACAAATATGGCTTATTTTTTTCTGTTAAGTTAGGATGCACCTTATATAATGACTTTTTCTAATAACGTTTTTCAGGAGTAGCGGAGTAATTTTTAATAAATCACCATAAGGACCAATATTTTAAACGTTGTGAATTTAAAAATTAATGAATGAGAGGGTGTTTTTGATCCTTAAAACTGAAATTCCCCAATTAAAAAACATCTTTGCATATTTTAAATTTCCAGACAGAACGTATTTTCAAAGCGGTGTTTGGATAATGTTACCAGCAATTTTTTTTTTTTCCAAATAAAATATAATAATTTGCCTATAGCAAGATTAATAATAATCTGGACTGTCTGAGACCGAATAAAAAACCAATTACAAAGACTGAATAAACCACGGCGGCTTTGATTCAAAGGTCTCAATCAGAGAAACGAAACCATTGGCCGTCTTTAATCTAAAGAGTAGACATATGCTGTAAAACGGAATGCATCTGGAAAATTTTGAAAATGTTTGAGAATTTTTTTCAATATTGTAATGTATATAGAGGTATATAAGTCATTATTTTTAAGGGAGAAGACATTTTAAGCCTTTAATGAGAGATTCCTTATACAATCGAAACTCCTTAGTGTTGTATTTATATATTCTAAAAAGAATATTTGTAATTTGTTGTTTAAAAAGATTTTTTATTGTAAATAATTTAGTTAATAGAAATATTCATTATAATTTATTTTTCGTTATTAATATTATATTCGCGTTTAATGTGTTTTAGAAAATTAATATAATTTGTTTTTGAAGTAATAAAGAATAAAAATTATAATCCTTTATTTTGTTTACAGTCCTCAGCCTCTATTTAGCTGTACAATCTCAACACTTAGATAAATATCGCTTAATTGCAACCATTTTAAAATGAGGGAAAAAAATATGCCAATTTGTTAAAATTAACCAAGGCAAATAATGCTTTTATGCGATTTTTCAAATCCCTTTATATATTAGCAACTTATTTTTAGCGGATAATTAGAAAATTACTCAATTCTTATTTTAAATTGAAAAGCAGCAGTAAAAATTTAATATTCCATGTATTTATATTCTTCTTTAATCTTTTTCTATCATACACTGTGCATATATAATTTTTATAGAAACACATAAATAAAACGTGTAAAAGAAGATTTCATTGTTTAATTTTGTGGGAGTTTTTAAAAAAAAAAGAAGGAATTCAGAAAATTTACAAGATTATAACAGTTTTTTTTAAGCCTGACTACTTTAAAACACACAGGCGTTATAAAAAGGCTCATTTCTCAATCATCAAAAAAAATTTAAATCGTTATACTTGGACACATTGGCCAATTTATTAAGAGCCTCCCGCGATATAACGTGGCCACACTTTAGCCTCATAGGAGGATTGGAAGAATTGCTCTGTTGACGTAAGATAGGGCAAGCAAAGATTGAGTGAAATCTGCATTCGGTGCCTAAATCTACTTCCACCTTGTTTTGACAAAATAAATATTTTTTTTCTCTTATTTTTGATCGATTTTCATCGCCAAGTTTTTTTATAATATAAAAAGCTTTCTTTCCTTCTTTTTTTCTTACTTCTTGCTTCCTTCAAATGTTTTAAATTTAATATCAGTTATATAACCAATGCAGTATAGACTACATAAAGTAATGATTTATGGGAAGTTAATTTATGAGTTATGGTGGTCATGATTAGGTTACTATAGAAATTATTTTAACAAATTTACATGGTTTTTGTATTTATTGCATGTTAACTTACAATGTCTAAAGACAGTCAGTCATTTTAAAGGTTTCACTTAAATTTGTTTTAATTTAATACATAATAATTAATAAGTTTATATTTACCGGTAATTCATCCTTAACATGAGAGTTCCAAACACCAGTCACATGTCTTTGTTGCATCATTTGCTTGATGTTTAAAAGAGCTGGGTAAGCTTTTACTCCACATGAAAAACTGTATTAAACATTTACCATTATAGTAATGGTGATATCAAAATAATTTGTATAGTAAATTTTTATTGACTAGAATTGAACTAGGTTTCGTCCAAATAATATCACTAGACATGTCGGGCAAAATGTTTATAGAGTAAAAATATGAAATGTATATAAGATCTAGTGGTAGGCGCGGGCCGGTCTCCCCAAACCAACCCCTTACAATTTTATGAAAAAGTTTGTGAACTAAGCTCGTAATATTTTGCACAAAGCCATCCAATACTGATCTCTAATAAGATCCATCATTTACATGCTGTTATTTTTGGTAAAGATAGAGATAGTCAATATAATATATCAGACTCAGCTCCAAAAATTTTTTGAGGAGAGTTTAAAAAAAAATAACAAAAAATATATGTTGACAAAATTTTCTTTATTAGGCTGTGTCCAAAACATCATTAAAAAAATTCAAAAAGTTACAAAACTTTCACAAATTTTAATAAAATCGTATGTTAAACTTTTAAAATTTATAAAAAAATTTATGTTTTGGACATGTTTTTATAATTTCATTTGAGATTAAAAAATAAATACTTATTTAATATATTAATTAATCAACAGTTTGATTTGTTTGGACATACCTGTTACCATAAGTCTGGCACCTTACCAACAGATAACTTGGCAGATACTAAACTCATACAAACAAGATATTTAGTTCTTCTATTTATCATATTAGAAAAGTGCATCTCATATATTTTAAAATATATTGCAGAAATAGAAATATATATCCATGATTATTTGGGCATAAATAAATAAAAATGTGTGTCTGCTGTGAAAATTCCCTATACATATATTTTAGGGAACTTCTAAGATCCTGTTATCAAAAATTTGAATTATTTATAAATACACTAATATATACATATATGTTTTGCATAATTAAAATTTAAAAGAAAATAATATTAAAAAAAATGTATTTTGTGTTTTCTTATTATAATTTATTAAAAACAAATTTCCAAAAAATATTTATTATTATGAAAACTAAATTAAATGTTTTATTATCATTCATTATCTCCAATTACATAATTTAGTATATCAGGAAAAATATAAATTAAAAAATGGATTATATATAAAATTTCTGCTTAAATTATGAAATAAAGCAAAAAAAATCCATAATTGAGAAAGAAGGGGGATGATATTATAATAAAATTAGCAGATAATCTAACAAGAATGCCAGGGAAATATATATTTCTCTTTTTGCTGACAGGCAATCAGAAAATCCCTTTTACTTGATGGATGAATCAGAAATTAAGTGCAGAGACCATCATGGACTTTAATTTTATGATCAAAGGGCAAACTTTAAAATTTTGATGGCCGGGCCATGATGGGCAAATCTTTTTTTAAAATTTTTATTGGTCAGATTGAACAAAAAATTTAACAGTCTGGGAATTTGTGGATTATTAATGTTCTTACAAAAACTAATTTATTTTTTAATAAAAACTTATTATTTAGTGTTGGAAGGGGGCAAAAAAACCCCAATTTTTATCTTTAATCCCATTATCACACATCTTATAATAGCTAATGAGTTAAATTTCATTTTTGATATAAAAAGAATATAGCAAATTTTAATGAAAATTGAAAGTGGATGGCAGAAAATCTCAATTTTCTTGCTCATTTGACATGGAATGACTTTGACAGGCCTAAAATACCTTTGATCATTTGACCATAATTGACTGGTCAGACTGACTTGCCAATGAAGTGTATTTATTCAAAGTTAAAAGAGTATATATAATTTTCCTAATATGGGAGTTTTAAAATATTTCTCAAGGAAGAATATGACCCCTCTTTTTTATCTACCACTGTACATAGAACACTTATTATATTCTTTTGCCAGAGAGATACCAGTAAAAGGAGAGGTCCACATTTGAGAGATTTCACTGTAGAAATAAACCTGACACTCAATGGACTTTCAGTGGAGAAACCTAATAGTGCACAAGCTTCTCTCACAAACAATTCCTCTATTTCTTCCCAAGCATAATCATCATATTTTGATATAGCTGTTGTTTTATTTTCATTTCCAGAAGTGGCTTTATCATTACAATCATTATTTTGGTTATTTGCAAACAAAAGGTAACCCATAAGCTTTTGAAATTCTTTCATTTGGCAATTAGCAAATGGGGTCAATTTTTTAGCTGCATAGATAAGGGCCATTTTAGTTTGATTAAGAGTTGGGGTTTCTGAACTATTATTGCAATTTAGACCATTAGAGGTTGATGAAAGAGACAATATCTCTAGGAAAGATAGTCTGTGAATTTTAAATTCTAGATCACTATTTTTTGCCAATAACTCCTCATGATGATCACTGGTCCATCTAAAAAATATTAAAAATTCCAAGAGTTTTTAAATTTATTATAATAACTTTATGGCTGGTTGTAAATCTTTTTGCTTTAATGACTGCAGTATATTATTTAACTCAATAAATGGTTCTTTTTGTTCTTTACTGAGTACAATATTTGATTCCTAAAAAATATATAAATCTATTAAAATAATTCATTTCATTTAAACTCGAATTAAATTATCAGCTATTAAGCATATTCCATGTCTAAAAAAATGTTCACAGATCATTTCATTAAGAATTTTGATATTTGTAGGATTTTCAAAATTTGGATCTAAGCAGGCATCATAATAATTTGAAACAAAATTCTAAATATGTCATATATTTTAAGGTTAAATTACATATTTACTTTTTCAATTATTTTTCCAAATTTTGAAATTAAACTATGTATATCCTTGTGCTCAGTAGAACTTTTCGATAACGAATCTTTTAAAAGATTTAAATATTCACATACCAAAAATTTTGATAGTGATATTGATCCATTCTCTTTATTGACAGTTTAATTCATGTTATTGAATATATAATAACCTTTAATAAATTCCTTTGTTTTATATAGATTTAATATTGTCTCATCAAATATTTTTTCTAGTGAACGATCTAAATTTTCTATTTTAACCTCTATATTTTTTATTTCTTTATCAGCTGGGTTTAAAATATCCATTTTTTTGAATTAATCGGAGTTATTCGAGTTTAAAGTAATAGACTTCGAATTTCATGTCAAATTTTTGTATAAGATAACAACGAACTCAATCTTTATATTCTCAAGGAAATATTTTAATATTGGGAAATATATTTAAAATAAGTAATTGAAGAAGTAATAAAAGCCTATAGATTTAATTTAACATCCTATAATATAAATATCAGATATTGGTTAAATAAAAAATTGGAGAAAAAACTCTGGTAGACTAAGTGGATCATATAATATATTCACTGTTTATTTAAATCAGAGACCTGCAGAAGTAACATTTGCAAGGCCCGACCAGGCCCAAATTATATTTTCAAAAAATTTTTTTGGACCTTACCCATGTTTTATATTTTCAGGCCTGACTCGGCACGTATTTTATTTTTTTTTAATTTTCAAGCCCGCCCATTATTTTAAAATATATTATATTTGATTTTTATAGCTAATAATGGCGATTTATAATATTTACTTTTAAAATATACAGCCCCACCCAGCCCGGATTTTTCTAAAAAATATTTTAAGGCCCGGCTCGGGAATTTAAAAATTTTTTTAAACCCGACCGGACCTGCAGGTCTATGAATCAATATTATAAATTTTTAACAAAATATAATAATTATTATGGCAATAATCATAGACGGGTTTGATTACTCCTGGCCCTAAAAAGATATTAAATTTTTGGTAGCCATCAATTTCCTAATCAAATTTAGATTAAAATCGCTGGCATATGTATATTAAAAATTGTAAGTAATAACTTGCTTAACAATACGTATTATTGAGAAATTGTCAACATCTTCTGAGAGAGATAGTAGCGACAAAAAGTTAATTATCATCACGTGATGTGAGAATAAAATAATCTATAACTCTAGAACATTTTTGGGAGTTTGATTTGTGTTGTAATTGTTAAACCAAATTACAAAGCCGAAGGATATTCAAATCTACTCAAGAAAAAAGAATTAAATTTCGAATAAGTTCAAGATTTTTTCAGTTTGTTTGTAAAACATTATGTAAATGAAATATAGAAAAGTATATATATATTCGAGGATATTTGTATAAACACAGATAATGATTTTACGAACTTAATTATAATTTTTAATTTTAATTTTTTATTATTTTAATTTTTTTTTAATTAATTTAGTTTGATTATATTTTTAACTTATTATTTAATAAAGAGTTAGTATCATTTTATTCTAACTATAGACCCGATGATATTTTGATTATTATTTTGAAAGTTGAATAAAGAGTAAATTCCATAGATATTCAGTCTCTCCCACTAGCCTCAGCAATATAAATATCAATACCATATTGGTACAGAGGTGCCTTACAGCGATTGATACAGGCTTTAGAAGATCAAAAGTCAGTCTAATTAACTCTGAAAAGAGATTCTAAATAAAGGGGGAAGGGGATGTATGAGATGACTATCGACACTAAGACAAAGAATGAGAGCAATAAAACAATGGTATCAATATTAATGGTCGTATTTCGGAGAATTAGTCGTTTAGCTAAAAAGAATGCGTCACAAGAGATCGTTATACGTACAAGTGATCGATGTAGCTAAAAGAAATTCGTTATAAAGATATATGGTTGACTGTTATTTAAGTTGATAATATTTAGCAAAATATCAGGTTGTTGATTAACCAAAAAATCTTCATAAAGAGAAACGGCTTTTCGTCATTAGAAAATTTATGCCGCAATCGAGCTCAATTAGAGATCGGATTTTTATTTTGGATCAAAAGATACAAGAAATCATTATCGTATAAGAGATCTTAAGGCAAAGTGGATATATTGACAAGAAGACCAGGATGCTATCGTTAATCGTTGACAAATTATAGCCAATTGCTTATCAAAAATTTAGTATAAGATAAAAAATCGAATAAGAAGTCGTGGAAACCATCGTTACTCGCAGACAAATTATCGTCAGTGGTTTACCGTCATTAGTTACTAGAAACCGTTAGAAACAAGCAAAGACTAGGATAATGTGGGAGTAAAACGAGATATAATTAAAGGAGCTAGAAGAATGTATCGGGAACCATGCCTTACTCGCAGAATGGTGGGACTAATCTAAGTGGAAGGGTGTTATAATTGTTAAACCAAATTACAAAGCCGAAGGATATTCAAATCTACTCAAGAAAAAAGAATTAAATTTCGAATAAGTTCAAGATTTTTTCAGTTTGTTTGTAAAACATTATGTAAATGAAATATAGAAAAGTATATATATATTCGAGGATATTTGTATAAACACAGATAATGATTTTACGAACTTAATTATTTAATTTTAATTTTTGATTATTTTAATTTTTTTTAATTAATTTAGTTTGATTATATTTTTAACTTATTATTTAATAAAGATTTAGTATCATTTTAGTTCTAACTTTTCTGATTTGACGAATATTATAGAAAAATATATATAATCGAGGATATTAGTCTGATTTAGTATCATTTTAGTTCTAACGAGGATATTAGTCTGATTTAGTATCATGTTATTTTAACCTTTCTTATTTGACAACGATTTTAATCTCTCAATCCTTTCAAAACTCTTAAAATGTTACAATTTGTAGACTGTCAGCACTTTAATTAATTAAAATTATTTTGGGTATTCATATTTTTTGGGCTTCCGGTAGGCCATCAAAGAAGTCTATTTAATTACTCTCTCAACGTTATCCAAATAATCAAATATGAATTTTTTTAGTTTTTTTTCGCAATTCCTTGTGAGCAGACCGCTAATTTTAGACAAAGCAATTTATTCGGCCATCAGCTATCTATTATACTTATTTTTTATAAGGCTTCAGCTTAGTTAAAGGCAGTTATAACTAAGCTATTTCCCATTCCTAAGTTATCCATGACAATATTATCTTGAGATAAGTTTGTTTTCAAAAGATGGTAAATCATTCAATTCCATTATGCCCCTGTAATTATGTTGTATGTTGTGCTGAGAGGAGCTTTGGCTCTTTATTTTTCATTAAGTGATAAATGAACTTTATATCGCATATCAAAAACGCAAAAATAAAATATCGTGATTTTATATAGATACTTCCCGCCTCGAATCCAAGAAGCCAGTGATGTTGAAAATGAGGCATTTATTATATTTGTGCTTCAAATACATTTTAACAGGCTAAAAAATAATGTAATTAATAATTTTTCTGTATAGAGAAGTAGGGTTAAAATTATAGGACCAAGAAAAAAAAACATAATATAAACCGCTTAGATGAAAATTATATAGTTTTTCGGGGAGGTTCGAAAAATTATTATGGTTAGGCTCAGGTTAACGGATCACTTCGGATCCCTCGTGTTTAGTGATACTACCCTTGAATCAGTGGCGTAGCTAGGAATTTTTTTAGAGGGGGTCCATACATATAAAAGCCTGTGGGGCTTCGCCCCTCAGACTCTCTTTAACGGGCCTTCGGCCCTTTTGCCGGCCTTCGGCCGGGTTTATCTTACAAATCATAACTATATCTTCGATAATATATAATAAATATATATCTTAAATGCATCAATAATATGTTTTTATAATTTAGTATGTTATTCTCAATGACTTTATAATAATACTATCCAGAATAATTTCAATAGTAGTATAATATCCTTACACAAACATCAAAACCAGAAAAATATAAATATTAATGATATTTATTTGATATAAAGTCACTTTTAAGTCTTTTGAACGTATAATCTAAAAAAAAAATTTTGCTCTGGGAGGGGTCCAAACCCGAAAACCACCCCCGTTACGCCACTGCCTTGAGTGGTAAGTTGGAGATAAATTTAAACTAAAAACATGAAAATATCTTTAAAATCCTTTATAAAAATTAACTAAAACTTTTCAGAAATATATATACTAAAAAAACCCCGATCAAAATACCTACAGAGTTTCTTGTAATGATAATATGTGGCTATCCCACAATAATGTTGTTTTGTTAAAAGTAAAAACGCCCCGATTAAAATTTTAGCCAAAATATTATTATGTAAGCTTGAATATTTTGCTCATAGATGGCAGAAAGATTTAAGCCCTCTATTTAAAAAATGTCGAGGCTTACATAATATTATTTCGGCTAAAATCTTAATCGGACCGTTTTTAAAAATCAACTCAAATCTAGCTGTTTACAGCACTACCACAATATAATTAGTCAAGTTAAAAATATGAATTCAGAGCATAATATATTTTAAATTTTTGAATAAAATAAACATTGATATAAAAAATGACAAATATATTTTATATTTCAAATTATCAAACAAATAAAACGTCATCGTGTATGAAAAATAGATTAAAAGAAAACCGTCCGATGGGTAGAATCACTAAAGCCATGTGTTATAAATATTTTTTTTCACATGAGTTATTTGAGTTATAATAGAGATAAATCACATTTCTTAGTAAGTCTTACTTATTTTATTTACTTGAATACTATAATAGTGTTTCAAAAATAATTAAACTTATCATTGAGCAGCTAAATTACCCATGTATTATACTTGATCCCATAACCTCATTTTAAACCAATTGGGGGAATAATTACTAGGAGAACAAACATGTCCAGCAGCATAGAAGTCAGTCAAATTAGTCATCATATGTTTATCTACGAGTATATCGCTTAGATGGTCCTGGTTCAATTTTAGCTTTTTTTTGTTATAATTGTCAAGAAAGCGAGATTTGACATTGGAATCAAAACCTAAATATAAAATAAAAAGAAACATATACTAAAATTATAGTTGAATCCTTTATTAAATAATAATAAATATAATTAAATACAACGTGAAAAACATAATCAAAATAAAATTAAAATTAAAATTAAAATTAATATAAGAAAAAATAAATTAAAAAGTAAATTTAAGTTAAAAATAATAATTTAATCATCCTCTTTCGCATCATAATTTCTCCATTATATATCCTTTTTCTTTAATCGACATTTGCATAGTCTCAATTTGTATCGAGATTTAATTCTTTTTTGTTGAGTAGATTTGAATATCTTTCGGCTTCGTAATTTTGTTATAAAGTA